ACCTCATGGATATCATATGCTATAAAAATACTTATCATGCCCAATCAAATAAATCTATGCTAATGCTTGTATTTCTTCACTGCAATAATTTCTTCCTGTCACCAAGAAGTATTTCTTTGGACATACAAATATTTATGTTTGTTCGGGACAAATTTTATTTTATGCTCACTAGAAAAGAAAGGAGACAGAATAGATCACAAAGTGCTGGGGGATGCTTTCCTGACACAACCAGGAAATAGATTGCTCAAATGAAGAAAACAGAAGCTCAAGAAGGATGTAATAAGTAGATATAACAAAGGAATTGATTTAAAAAAAATCTAAGGTTAGCTATGCAGTAATTATTAGAAAGGAAAAGGAAAGTGGGCAAGATAGACCACTCCTACACTTCCATGTTGTCATTGGTGAAATAATCATGAGGCTCTAATCCAGCTAACACGTGACATCCTGCATCTCTAATGGTTTGTTTGGAGAGGCGGGGAAGACAAGAAGGCACACAGGGAAACACAGCCCACAACCTGACTATATCCTCAAAATCGCCGAATGTATCCTGGGAACTGTACCCATGGCCTCAGTTTGAAAGGACCTCCCTATATTAATGTGCACTGAGCTTCCAGTTTTGAACATATTTCAAAAAATGACTTTGTGGTCATCACTGTTGCACACTCATTAGTTTCACTCATTACCCTCATCGTCCACATAGCAAGACCTTTGCAGACACAGTTCAGTCAGCCTTTCTCAATGCGTTTACAGCGAATATGAAAATGTCTTATCTGCTAAAAATCTGAAGTCCCATGGCTAGAGTTATTTATGTTTTAAAAGTGTATGGAAAAGCAAGATGTACACTGAGCCAGAGAGAACCTCATTTATGTGAATACACCATAATTCCATGACTAGATAAGGTATTGACGGAATGGTCTAAGAAAGCAGAAATGCTTAATTTGTTTTATGATGTGCAAGTGAGTTGATTTTAGACTTCTATTAATATGTGCCCAAAGCATGTGGCACCTGGTGGTCATATTAAAAACCCTGCAGGGTTTTTAATGTGCTCATGATCAAAATAGAGACCTACAGAGAGATGTCTTATAAAAATCAAAACTTCAGGTTCCCTTATTTGGAAGGTATGCAAGCCTTCCATCATTAATTAAGTTATAAGGAGAAAGAGTTGATTTGGCTCATGGTTGTAGAAATTCCAGTTCATGGCTAGATATATCCACTGTACAAGGTGTGTTTTAAAGAACTCTTTTTCACATATCAGGGCTCTGGAGAGCTGTCTATTTAGGGGTAGTTATTCATATGCAAGTATGATAGACACAATAGACACATGGCCTCTCCCCAGAACATTTCTGGACAAAAGTTTGCTCAGAAACATACTCGTGTGTGTGTGTGTGTGTGTGTGTGTGTGTGTGTGTGTGTATGTGTGTGCGCGCATGTGTGTGCGCATGTACGTGTAATTTCTATTCTCTGGTCTTTACCATATGAATATACTGCTTTTAATTTATTCTATATTCAAATGCAAAACATTAATATATTGTGTTTTCCTGAAACAGTAAAACATTGCCTGTCTGGGTCCTTGACTCTAATTACTCTCCATTGGCCCACTCAAAAGGTCTACTTGGGATGAAGATGGCTTATGTCCTTCACCAAGACAGACGCAACAGAGTTAATATCAGTACAAAGACAACTGGAGAGGCTAAACCTCTAACCCAGGCAATTAAAGAGCTACTGAAATGAAGCAATTTGTGAGCTATCTCTTTGTGTGTGATACCAACCAGATCTCTTTTCTATGGCAGGCCTCTGCTGACGCAGGGTCTCAGAGTTCCTTCTGGATCAGCAGATCTCGACTTATTCAGAACAGCAAGATAAATAGTAAATATCTAATAAATGTATGTATGTTTTACATTAGCATCTAATAATAAACTTGGTCTCTTTCATATTTTGAATGGTCAAAAGAAATTTGCAGTATTTCCAATGGAGCTTAGATATGCTTTTTTTCCTATTATATTGTTCAAGTACGTAGAACTAGGTTATTTCAACATTAAAAAAAACATGTATGTACCCAACACCTGACACTTATTAGAATCCACATGGGTAGAGTGAGCATAGTAACATCTGCATGTGTCTCACCCTCCTATCTTTGAGGAGTAACACTAGCATGTGTTTGAGTGCCATAAGTAATTCATGTGTAGTCAAGTTTTAGACACAAAGCTACTTTGTGCTGGATTACTGACTTTAAAATGGGCTTTCTGGAAAGTAAGTTATGGCTATAGAAGCTGGAGTCTTTTCTGAGTCACAATTTCATATACTTAAGATTTCCTCTAATGAATCCCTTATGGGCAGGGTTGAGTTTTTATCCACATTTTTATGGGATCTGATAACATTATACCACTAAACTCCAAATAGAGTGACATCTAATGTGTAAAAGGATTGCTAAACCTTTCAACAAATGGTGTCATATAAATATAAAATTAAGATACTAACAGTTTTTTAAATAAAGTAGGGGGAAAATCTCTCTATCTTTGGCAAGGAAATCTTGCAGGGGCTGGCAAGGGTTTCTCATAAAAGCCTCTGATTCATTATGATTAAGCATCAAATTAAAAAGAAGAAGAAAAGGAGGAGGAGGAGAAGGAAGGAAGGAAGAAAGAAAGTAAGAAAGGAAGAAAGGAAGGAAGAAAAACCCAGATTCACCACTGCTGTCTTACTCTTTTTCTTTTGGCATAAGTAGGCAAGGTTATTGATCTACAGATTTGCCTGTTGGGTCACTGAAGCTGTGTGTGTCATAACTAAATGGGTACTAAAACTTCTGAAGTTCATGGCAGGGAAGACCATTAGCACACATATAAATGTAACTGGAATGCTATTTATGAGATAAAACCATTGGCTAGTCTCTGTCAGACTTTATATGCAAACTCTAAATTGGAAGATGTAAAAATATTGACAGAAGCCTGACTCTGAACTTCACATACCTTTAAAAAAAAATGAAATAGGACCATAAAGATGGTATAATGGAGTGGATCATACATAAAAGCAAAATCAGTATTAAATGAAACTCAACATCAAATATATACTTTCCTTTTCTCCTAGACATTTTCTGAGGTCTCTATCTGGAGGGTAGATTTACAGACAGCCAAAACAAGCTGTCAAAACAGTTTTTAAGGCTCCTGTGAGTGACTCTTTGGCATAATGCAGATGAAATGGTTGACTGCACCTTTTCTCTTCAGAACAGATTGCTCTGGCACTATGAACCTGTCATGTCTGTCCACAACCTGCAAGACAGAGGGTCCTAAAAACACTTTAAGAGGGTGACTTGTTTCTTGTATGCCTAAAGATCTCATCATCATCAATTAGTATTAGTTAATTGTCCAAGTCGTCGGGGTGAGCTGGATTGCCTCTCGTTTAGATAAAAGCCCTTCTGCTGTTGAAGTGGGCCATGCCACCACATCGTTTATTTTATATTGTTAGGGAATGAGTCAATGTATGACGTGGAACTTTCTAGAAAATATAGGCTTGTTTGTTAAAAAGAAAAATGGTCTTATATGTAACCATATGGAAAGAGGTCTCTACTGTGTATCCATATCCACCTGTATTCTTACAAATGCTATAGAATTCCTAAGGTTCTAATTATGATAATTAACTACTTAATTAAAGCAAAAGAGGTGGGGAAATAAGAGGACAGTTTTGTCTAGAGAATCCAGGCTGCTGGTGAACTCTGCCTCTGTCCCTTATTAGCTGTACATATTTAATCAGGTCTTCAAGCTTCTGCTGCAGCAGCTTCCTGTTTGAAAGGGAACACATTGGTGACTGGAGAGATGGTTCAGCAATTAGGAGCATTGGCTGCCCTTCCAAAGGACTGGGGTTCAGTTCTCAGCATCCACATAGTAGCTCATAACAGTCTGAAATTCCAGTTCTGGGGGAATCTAAAACCTCTTCTGGCATCTACAGGCATTTCATGCAACACAAAGCACAGGCAAACATGCAGATGAAATACTCACACACAGAAAATACAAATAAACGAATCTAAAAATAATTTTAAATGGATTACAATGGCATAAAAATAAATCAACCTTTAGCTTTTGCTATTGGATAGTTTTGCCAACACTTTTGACATCTGTTATTCAATCTGTTACATACTGTGAAACCAGACAGCAGTTTATTAAAGTTGCATGTAGTGGATTAAGAAATGAATTTTTTTTCAGCTATCATGGCTGGAATATTTAGAATGGTTCTTGCTTGACTTTGAGACTTTCTACTCTGAAACTTAGTGTGCAGGTTTCTACATACATTTTTGTTTTTTTAATTTGCAAAATTGTTTTGACACATGAACTCAGATGACTCCAACAAGAATTTGACAGAAACAATCTGACTAAACAGAAACTTGGGGAAAGTGTGAGAAAATGATCAAAATTAAAAACTGCAAAGCTGACATTCATATAACTTGAGATGGGGTATAAAACTGCCATTGAGTTTGTGATTATGAAAATAATGAATTCACTTTCTTAGTCTGAAAAATTCCCATTTCATAAACTGCTTGTGGAAATTAAATTTGGCAATGTATATCAAGTATAGCATCTCACATATGAGAATTAAATGTCAGCTATTACAATTATCATCATCTCTAATAGACAGAAATGACACTGGATGTTATGTGATGTTCGGAATACTTACTCTGTAAGATCTTTCACATCTACCCTCTCTCCTTGGTTTCATTAAAAGGTTTGCATTATATCACTCAGGCTGGCCTCAAACTCATCATCTTTCTGTGCAGCCTCCTGACTAGCTGGCATTCTAGATCAGTATTAGTTAAGTATTTTGTTTTCACCTCTCTCTCTCTCTCTCTCTCTCTCTCTCTCTCTCTCTCTCTCTCTCTCTCTCCTTTCCTCCCTCTCTCCCTCTCCCTCTTTCTCTCTTCCTCCTTTCCACCTCTCTACATCTTCTTCTTTTTACTTGACACAAGCTAGAGAGTCATCTGGGAAGAGGGAACCTAGATTAAGAAAATGCCTTCCTTGCTCTCTTTAGCCACACATACACTAATATTAGAAGGAAACTGAGAAGATTCGCATGCCCCCTTTATGCAAGGATGACATGTAAATTTGTGAGGTGCACCATGTTTTTTTGAGAAAGGTAAAGACTAAACAAGCACCTTGTTTAGTGTGGTAAACAAAAGCCACTTTAGCTCTTTTCTTGTTTGTTTTGTCATACTCAGAGACTTTTTTTTTTATTCACCTTTAAAAAAATTTTATTGTGTTGTATTATTATCCCTTAAATGCCTGTTTGTTTTCTAAGGAGAGACAGAACGGGCATGGATCTTAATTGAAGGGGGTGGGGGATGAGGGGGAACTGGGAAGAGTAGGGGGAGGGGAAATTATAATCAGAATCTATTCTGTGAACAGAATATTTTCATTATGAGAATAAAATAAAAAATGAAAATGCCCCCATCAGATTGCCTTGTAGACAAGTCTGTGGGGGCACTGGCTTGGTTCATGATTGGTATGGGAGGGTCCAGTCCACTGTGGGTGGTGTCAAGCCTGGATGAGTGGTGCTGAATTGTATGAAAAAAAAAAAAAACCCAAAAACTAAATGAGCTACAAGCAGGGAGCAAGTCAGAAAGCAGAATGCATGCATGGCTTCTTCCTCAGTTCCTGCCTCTAGGTTTCCTGCCCTGAGTTCCTACACTGATTTCCTTTCATGAAAGACTCTAAACTGTGAGATGAAATAAATCTTTTCCTTACCAAGTTGCTTCTGTTTAGGGCCTTGATCTTGAAGATAGAAAGGAAACTAGAACAGGGCCCATTCCTAGACTTAGTGCCATGGTTTTCACACCATACAAGGACTTATTAAGTGTAGATCAACACATTTAAAATATTTCATGATGAAAATGCTTATATCTTAGGTTTAAATTTAAAAAATGAATTTACGTGTGAACCTCCTCAGAAGTGTGGAATGGATGCCATGGCATGTTTGTGCTTATCCAATATGATTGTGCCTTTTGTTATCAATGAATCGGGAGAATGAAAGCATCTATACATACTAACGCATCTCTGTTTAAGGATGGAAAGTATTTCATAAAGTATTAGTTTTTTTCATAGCTTACTGGAAATATGGTGGCACATGGAGAATGAAGTTGATCTAAGGTAATACAAAAATCAGTACCAGGTTAATAAGAGTCCAGGTTATCCAAGGAAAGAATCCAGGGGCCCCAAATCAATGAGAGCTTCTCTTGTCAGCACTTTCTGTATATACACATAAACACCTAAGTGCTTCAAAGGGTAGCTTTCATGATGAGCATGCTTAATAGTTACCAAACACTTTGTAATTTAAGATTACAGAGAAATGCAAACCAACTGAAATAATTCAAATAAAGTTATTCAGGGGAGAGGAGGAGCAGACTACTGCATTTCCAGATATTTTCAACAAAATGAACAAATCAAATGATAAAAACCTAAACTATATTGCAACTGAGCCTAGTAAGGGGTGTTACTCACTGTGAGTACATGGCACACATGTATGTGGCTTCATATATGCCTATGTACACTTGTGTTTGGAGTTTAGACTTGAGCCTCAGACACTCTCCATTTTCTTTACTGAAGTAAGGTCTCTCACTGAATCTGGAGCTCACAGATTCCATGAATTTAGTCAGGCTGGCCCAGGGGCTCCATCTCCGACCTGCATCCCACCCTGCATCCCACAGTGCACAGTGCTAAGGATACAGGTAGACACCGCATCCAATTAGCTCTGACAGAGGCTCTGAGAATCTGAACCCCAGTCTTCACACTGGCCCTCCACCACAAACCATTTCCTCCATGTATTATGGGATATTTTCCGTGCCACCCCGCCCTCACTCTTCACGTCATTGCCTCCATTTCACTCTCCTTTTCTCTTTCCTTTCAAAGAAGACAGATCCATTTCATGCTAAAGCATGTTAAAGGAACAGAACCAGTATAATGCATTTCATTCTGTAACACTTGCCCTAAAATTTCAAAGTACAAATCGGATACCTTAAGGCACAGAGGGCACACTCTTTTTATTTCTGGTACTGAATGCTGCAAGTCTGTTAGGGGCAAGTTATATTAAAAACAATAATAAAGTATAAGTCTGAGAACAGAGCCAGGACTGGAAGTTTTAGTTCAACCCAAAGGTATGCCACTTCATGTAAAGCGATTCAATCTCCTTTCTTAAGTTGTTTTATTTCTGAGAAGACAAATGGCGTAGGTAACAGCTATTGATCTTCCCAACACCGGTGCTGTCACAAGAAAATTGATTTTGTAGCTTACAGGGAGATGCACTGGTGGCCCCCGGCAGAACTACTGTGGATTGGTGATGTGCCTACTGACAGCTCAGGGTTCCCTTTTCTTACCACACCAATTTGCTTTTCTTTCTCTCTCTCTCTCTCTCTCTCTCTCTCTCTCTCTCTCTCTCTCTCTCTCTCTCTCCTCCCTCTTTCCCTGTCTCTTTCTCATCCTTTCTTTGGGCAGAAGTTCCTCTTGCTTCCTTAGACATTCAGTATCCTTTCCTTAACTCAAAATTTGATTTCTGGAAAGAGATCAAATTAAATTCATTAAACTTAATCAATTAAAGGCCATTGAGAAGTTAGTGACAAGTTAGAGAAGTCCCGGTGGTGCACTCACCTTAAAGGCAAGCGAAGAACTTTGAGTCTGAAATCCATTCAAATCTGGTGACCTCTTGTAATGGCTACTCTTCATTGCCAGCACGATAGGGTTTAAAACCACTTAGGTAACCATGAGGCACACTTCTGAGTGTGGCTATGAGGTTGTTCCCAGAGAAGATTAGCTGAGGGGAAAGATTTGGCCTGACTTCCCTGGCACCATATATGGTCTAGGAGCCTGATGGGATACAAGGAGAAAGCTAGGAGGCTACTGCATTCCTTTTGCTCAGCTTCCTGGCCACAGTGACTTGTACTGCTGCTGCACTCTGCCACATTCTCTTGACCTGAGGGACATAATCATCTGAAGCTATGAATATACCTCTCTTCCTCAAGTTGGCTGTGTCAGGTATTGTGTCACCATGGAGAGAGAAAGTAATATATATCTGTTACTCAAAGTGTGAGTCCAGTTACCTTTTGTCACCTTGGTCCCCTCTACTATCATTCAGACCTGGGCCACACTCTCACCGTGGCTCTCTATGAGACCACACTTTGTCCTGTGACAGCAGCCTTATCACTCTTTAAAAATAAAAATCTCTTCAGAATATTAAGCTCCCTGGTCAAACACTCAAAATGGCTCAATCCCACCCTGGTCTGGTAGCTCCTGTAGAATCCCATACAGTCCCTTGCCAAGCTCTTTGGGTTCATCCCATTGTTGCCTGACCTGAAGTCACATGGGCTTTCTCTCTTTTTTTCTTAGAAAATATTTTTATGAGTTCTTTGAGTCTTTGAGAATTTGACGGAATGCATTTTAACCATAATTCACCTCTAGCTCTTCCTTCTAAATTTTTCTTTTCTTTTTTTCCAGACAGGGTCTCTGGAAGTCACCCTGTAGGCCATCCTACTCTCAAACTCATAGAGGACTGCTTCTGCCACTCTGGTGCTGGGATTAAAGGTGTGTATCATCACTGCCTGACCTGGCTCCTCCTTCTAATTCCTGTAAAACTCTAACTCTAGTCTTCCAGCACTATGCTCTCCTGGTTTTCTTTAATAACCTATACACTCTAATTTGTGTTACTCTTGTAACCCTGGATATGGGGCCATCCACCAGAGCATGGTCAACAAACTGGGAGCTGTGCACACCCTTCAGGAAAACTGGCTCACCCTTCCCAAGAAGCAAAAATCTGCCAATAGTTCCTCCATTCAGGGTGGGGCTTCAAGAATTCCTCCTTACTCCATGCAAAAACATTGATTGACTTGATCATATGGAAGTCCTGTGTAGGCAACAACAGCTGCTGTGAGTTTGTAAGGACAGAGATTTTGTCAGAACCAGAAGACACTGACTGTTTCATTCTAGTCTTCCCTGGCCTATTATTTATCTATCCTTCTTCTGTCATGGTACCTGAGCTTTGGAGAGTGGGGTATGATATACATGTTGCATTAGTGACTGAACATGCCACTTATATTTATTCTCTATACTATGACTAGTTGCAATTTTTTGTCTTAACCACCATCCACTGTGGGAACCAACCACTCTGGTGAGGTCTAAGAGCTGCAGTAATCCCCAGGCAGAGGGATACAGATATATTGCAGCTTGATACCAGCAGACATTTGTTTTAACTTCGATTGCCTTAAACCCATGAGGATCACTCCTACTTCAAGGACTTCTTATTATTTCATTCTCTCTGCCTGGACTCCTGTTTTCAGCCTCAGGTCTACTTAAGACATCTTCTGAGGGTCAGTATGAAAGAATCCATGACAACTGTAGTTAGTATGCTCTCTCTATTTCATTAGTCTCTGCTTTACATTTCCAACTCATTATTATTATTATTATTATTATTATTATTATTATTATTATTATTATTAGTCCACTTCTCACTAAAATAGAAATTCTCCACCTTTCTTGCCTAACACTATATTCAGAATATTTCTGAGTGTCCTGTAAGCAGAAGGCTCTCAATAAATATACAATTAAGGAGGAAAGTGATACAAAAGAGTGGGAAAAATCTTGAATCAAAGGAAGAGAATACTCTATATTAGGAGAATTCTGCTACTCATGAGCTGTCCCATTAGTGGAGCTGGCTGTGTGGTCATCATCAAAAACAAACTCTCTTCGAAAAAACCATGAAGCACCCTACTTTGTAATTAGTAATGGTTCTTTTCACATACTACATTATGTGTGTATGTATGCATGTATGTGGGTATGTGAGGGGTATCTTTCCTGTGTGCTTTGGGTGAATAGGGAATACTGGCATAGCCCTTTTTCTTGCCTTTATAGTTTAATTGTATCAGGTGCACACAGACATAACCTGGCTATGCATGTTTCTTGAGACCTATGACCCTCTTAGCACAGTACAAGTATTACCTCTCTCAGACTACACATGCTTTTCCAACTTCAAACCATCATGTTACTCTTGATCATCAATCTGATTGGATTGAAAGTCATCAAGGAAATTACTAAAATATTCCCTAGGGTATATTTGCAGGGGATTTCTGGAGATTAGGTCATCTG